TTGATGATTTTATAAAAACAAAACCACACAACAGAGATGAAAAACAAGTTGTTTCAATGATTTTGGGGGGCTCTCAATATCAATGGCCCATATATAGTTGTGAGGTCGCTGTGAAGCTCAAATGGTTTAATACATACAAAGCACATATAATAGTATCTGATATATAATAAATGCTTAGTAAATATTGGTTATTACTACCATTTTCATTAGTTCCAGGCAGAAGTTTTGTTTATTACATGGAAAAGAGAAGCAGAAAAAGCAACATTGAGATATGGAACTGCATTCTTTTTCTTTCATTTTTCCATCTTCTCTACATTTATATACTCCTGAGACACCACTTTAAGTGTTGCAGTGAAAAGTATTATTTTAAAAGCATTAGTAAATATTCACCTTATCCCTAATCTATAATAATAAAAGCATAATATGCAAATCAACTGAACAGTAGAACACTGGAACAACTGTCCGGATGACCACGCTATGACACCCACTGGTGCCAGGCCAGCCAAGGCAGGTGCGATGCAATTCGTCAGGGCCCGGCCATCACCTCATAATGGCCCCGCAGAGGGCGGCCCAGGCCACCAGCCAGGGTGATCAACATGGGGGGGGGGGAGGGGGAACAGGGGGGCTCCTCGATCGCCCAAAGAGGGAGGCCCAGGCCACCCTTTGTGGGGCGATCGATCAGGGTGTCCTCCGTGGAACCCGGGTGTGTGGTGGTGGATGAGGGCAGCACCAGGCCAAGGCGGGTGTGTGTGTGTGTGTGTGTGTGTGTGTGTTGGGGGGGGGGGTTGGGCAGGAGGCAGCCTGGGCTGCAAGGGCCCCAGCAGCTGGAGCTGGGGGCTGCGAGAGCCCCAGCAGCCGGGGCTATGAAGGCCTACCCTTGCACGGATTTTGTGTATTGGGCCTCTAGTTATACTATAAGATACTTGAGCCCCCTGGCTGGTTTGGGTCAGTGGGTAGAGGGTAGGCCCATCAAGGTTGCACCCCCCATCCCCTGTCAAGGTTGCAGGAGGCAACCAATCAATATGTCTATCTCTCTCCCTCCCTTCCACTCTCTCTAAAAATCAATGGAAAAATATCCTTGGGTGAGGATTAACAACAACAACAAAAAAAGATACTTGAGGGAAGAATGAAATTTTTGTATTTCTTCTAAATTTTCCCTATATGGCAAAGAATAATAATATGCACAATGAATACTAAATAAATATTAATGTAATAAATCCATATAAGGAAACAGAATAAAAACAACAAAGCAATAAATACAAATTGTGAAGATATTAAAAGCAAGAGATCTCAAAGCCTGTGTCAATATACAACAATTCAAAGATATATAGTAGAGTGAAAAAGTGAGGTGAAAAGCTTTATTGTTAACCACAATGAACAGACCACACTCTCTCTGCTCTTCTCTGTGCACAATAATTTAGGAGGAATACTAAAAACACTGAATATGTCTAAAAGAGAGCAACTGAGAAACAATTCAAGAACTGAGATGCTCAGACTGTAGAACAGAGAGGGTTTGCCCTCCTGCTCTCATCCTCCACCTTCATCAATGAGAAGAAGGCATCCTATGGAAAATGACTAAAGATTTCTCTCTTGTCCAGAGGCAACTATCAAAAGATGGCCACAATAGAGATCAAGACTTCTCTCAATTCAAAAACTTAAGAGATTTCTTCTAAGCCAAAGATATTGTGAGAGATTAGTCATGAAGGTATTCAAGCAAAGGATGGAAAACAGCTTGCCAAGGACTCTGTGGAAAACATCCAAGCAGGGGTAATCAATTAGAATTTTAAGTTTCCATACAACTCTGTAACCACATCAATGAACATTACTGAATACCTGCTCCAGGAAGGGCACTGTCCTAGACCTATAATAAGTACAAGACAACAGAGAGAAACATACAAAGATCTCTGCTGCCAAGAAATGCATAACAATATATAAAATGTATATTACAGTTTGAGACCATAACAGACATCACAAAGCATTATTTGTTCATTGCCAAATTAATTCTATTCACATACAAAGGTCTTCTAAGAAGGAGAAACCCTAAGGTTAAAATGTTCAGAAAAAGCTTTTTAGACTAAAGATCTGAGGTACTTGTGGAGGGAAAAATGTGTTTGAAAGTTCTGAACAGGTAGAGAGAAGTAGGAAAGAGAGAATAGCAGAGAGAGAAATGAAAAGCATGTTAGAAACCTGTTTGGCTGCATTAAAAACTTGTTTCATGGGAGAAGAGCTAAGCTGAAAGGGCAGGTTGTGGCCAGAATCAAACTGTACTAGGCCTTGAATATCAAGATAAGTAGTTTCAAATTTATCCTGCATACTGCAACTGTAACAACTACTGGACTCTGTTGTAGCCATAGACAATGGTAAAAACTAGTACTTGGGGGGAGGGGAGGGAGTATCATGGCTACATTCCAAAAAAAACAACCTGAATTACTAATACTGAAATTTGAATTTCATGTATTTCCATATGTCACAGAGTATTCTTTTGATTGTTTCAACAATTTGAAAATGTAAGAATCATTCTTAACGCAGGGGCCATACAAAAACAGACTGTGTGCTGGATTTGACCGTGTCAAGCAGTTTGTCAAGCCCTGTACTACACTAAGCTGTCTTCTTCAGCAACCCTTAGGTACATTTGTCCTTGAGCTTCAGGGACCAGAATAATATATTACTCATTCAACATGCATGAATGCACACACTTAACCAAAATCTAAATCTAGTAGGGGTCAGAGGTTCTCTATAAAAACTAACAACAACAAAAATTCTCTAATTCGCCATTAGAACAAAAGAAAGACATTTTTAAATTTTGTTATTTTCACATAGTAACTGTATTTAAGAGAGCTACAAACTATTCTTATAGAGCTTCTTTGACACTTGGCGGGACCTGTAAAATAGAGTGTAATCAAAGGGATTGTCTGTTCTAGCCCTACTTCTGTCATTTACTCATTATGTGACCCTGATCAAGTCATTCTCAATCCTCTGGCCCTAATTTTCTCATCTGTAAAGTGAAGGAAGGGGTGTAAGTTACTGGACGATCACTGTGCTCTCTCAGCTTTAGCACTGTATGATTCTATTCCTACTTAAAAAGGACCAGAAAGGAGATGATAAACACCAGACAAAAGTGATAATTAAGGACACAGAAGAGAAAGGCATTGACTAAATGAGTGGGCAGACAGGACAAACAGGTAGAAAAAGAGACCAGAAAAGTACAGTTTACTAAAATCAAGGAATGTATTCTTTTTAAGTATCAAATGCAAAATGGGAGGAAGGAAGGAAGGAAGGAAGGAAGGAAGGAAGGAAGGAAGGAAGGAAAAATTCAAGGAATATGGCCATCAAAAAAAGAAAGAACTAGTTAGCTAGCTAAAAAAAAGGCAAGGAGTTCAAGTGACAGTCTTAAGATCTGAGAGTACTGTGCATGCTTCCAGAAATCATGAGATGAGCCAGGGTAAAAGAAAAGACTGAAGATGAGTGTAGGGAACAGAAAATAAAGGCGTATGGTCCAGAAAAAGTAGAAAAAAAGTTGGGGTAAACTTCAAGCCTCAGTAAGAGAGTTAGTCTTAAAGGAGAGGCATTTTTTAACCTTTAAAATCCAAAAGGGGAAAAAAAATGCATTACAGTATCAGTTTTCATGTTTTCTATACATCACATTATTAGGGAAATAAATTTAATGTTGGCTTTTCTAAAGCAGAGTTCCACTTATATTATATTTGCTAATGGTCACAAAATTAGGAAAAAATATTTCTGTCCCAGATACATAATTTCAATGATCACCAGGGCCTGCTTTAAGTGGCAACAAATTGCTACAAAGCAACTAAAAAAGGCAACAACAAAAAAACACACACACAATTTAATGGTTATTCATAAATACCAAGACCCTACTGCGGAGCAACTTCATTTCAACAGACACCTGCCTCTACGTACGTATATGAGCAAGAAACACCCACAGCAGCAGGCTGACGTGGAACCAGTTAAAAAACACACGTTGGTATATGCAGAAAACATGAATAAAGCCAACAAGAGATACTATTCCTATGTTGAAACTCCCTGGCCAGTGCATTACATTTTCTACGATTCAAGAGCAGCCAAGAACTCGAGGCTTCTCACATCACCCGCTTTTAAGAATTTAAGAAGTCACCCCAAGGGGCACACCCAGCCCAACTTAACCAACAGGGGCTCCGCTCTCCATAGCAGAGGGTGGTGGGGAGCGAGCTCTTCCACCTTCCCGCGCGGTCCCGTCTCCGACTTCCCCACGCGCCTCCCAGGCCCCGCGTAGACCGCCAACCGCACCGCCGAGCAACAGCAGCTCCTGCAAGTCTCCGGCTCACGCTGCCCTCCCACCCGCCTCGGGTCGGGTGTCGCTTTCACAAGCCCGGAAAGTGACCCACCGCCACTGTCAAAACCAGAAGCACCGCCACCCCGGCGGGCCCGTCGACAACTGCTCCACAATTTTTTTTTTTCTTTGAAATTACCGACCTTGGCTCGACAGGTTCCGTAAGTACTTCAAAGGCCACCCTCTCCCCCAAAGCGGGACCGGACTCCTCCCGGTTCGCTCCTTTCTGTGTCCAGCCCCACACACCGCGGGGGGGGGGGGGGCTCTACTTCCTCCCGCCCCTCGGGACCAGGCAGTGCCTCCAACAGCTCGCCGCACCCCATCCGCCTTCTGGTAACTCATGGAGAATGCGTTACCACATCTACTATAGGAAGTGTCAGAGCCATGATATCTTAGAGCAAACTGATGAAGGCGATAGCAGATGGGGCAAAAAATATACAGCTCTGAATACCCCTGAAAGC